ATTCTATCGCGTGTGGGACCTACATTTGTAGTAAAAACATGCATTATTGTCCGCGTTCCTTTTGGTCATCTTCAAGAAACAAAGGCCAAAGGTTCTAGTTTTATTGTTTTAGTGGCGTTTTGTCGTTGGATTAGCCAATTATAAAAACGTAGAAGCCACATTCACAAGTTTCAAGGACAAAAGACATGGTCGCCATGTTGGTTGATATGACAAAAGACACCAAGACCAAATCTTTCAAGTCATCCAGCACTCTTATTCATGAAATAGTAATTCTTTTCTTAATTTCATTTTTTGAGTCACATTTTTATGTTGTAAAGCGTCTTTGAACTTACGGATATCGACGCTATATAAATTATTCCTTATTATTATTATTATTATTATTATTATTATTATTATTACATGGCGCCTATGATGTCACATGCACAAGGACAAAAGACATGGCCGCCATGTTGGTTGACATGACAAAAGAAACGAAGACCCAATCTTTCAAGTCAACCAACATGGTGCTTATGATGTCACATGCACAAGGACAAAGGGAAACGAAGACCCAATCTTTCAAGTCAACCAACATGGTGCTTATGATGTCAMATGCACAAGGACAAAGGGCAACGAAGACCAAATCTTTCAAGTCAACCAACATGGTGCTTATGATGTCAMATGCAAAAGGACAAAGGGCAACGAAGACCAAATATTTCAAGTCAACCCAACATGGCGCCTATGATGTCAAATGCACTGACAGAATACAGCAATAAATRTTCAAAATGACAAACTGACCGATATAATCATGATAAATTATATCAATTTGAGAAAACGCGATCTCGAACGGATTAAAAACACGGGAGCTGGCCAGTGTTGTGTGGTTATTAATGTAGCTAAGAGCCACAGAACACGATTTTTTGCAGGTGTACGATAGTGTTTTCAATAAACCTTTCATCATTAATAATGATATAACAAGAATTAATAGCTTAACATCTMGACGATTATTCTCTTAGACTTCTAATGAAATGATTTGTTACTCAGAAAGCCGGATTCTCACCAAATTTTAAGGTTCAAAAATTTTGTATTGTTTAAAAAATCTGCGTTTTTAAGAAGCCAGGAATATTGCCGCCTGAATCCGTCAAAGTGACAAAAGCTCGACATTTTTACTATGTAATGTTCTACTCAATATTCAAAAGTTTTTGAATGCAATCGATACTAATGAGAACGCGCCAACCCACGATTAAATGTGGTGCACGTATGTCACCCACTACACTTGACTTGCCTCATTCTGATACACCACAGTCTGGAGATGAATTCATGGTTCCGACTCGCCTTAGTTACAGTTGCTATGTCCCATAACCTTAACACTGTTATCTAGAATATCTCCGATTTTAAAACTCTGATCGCGGAAAATTGATTTTAGATTGTTTCAATAGTTGACTGTCCTGCGAAGAGAATAGAAAATTGTCTCGTAGTCCTTGTAGTACTCTTTAAAACAGATACAGTGTAGTTGTTTGTGGGACAAGATTTTAATTCCGCTGAGAAAACTGCTGCAACGTTGATTGGTTCGCTACTGAGTCGGAGCTATTTTATTGAAATGATTGGCATGTTACATGATACTTTGAAGATTTAAGGCACCCTTTCCTTTACGTAAGAGATAACATGCGACTGTTTTTTTCTTAGCATTCAATTTCTAATGTATGTCCGTGGCTGTCCCAAACAAAATCTTTGGAATTTGGTATTTTTCTATCCCTCTTTGTGCATAAAAATCTTTGTTTGAGTAAAGAAATGAATAATGCTCAAGGGAATGGCATGTGGATTGAAATGGGAAAACATTACGCCCAAAGTAAAAAGGCCCATAAAAGAAATAATACTCAAGGGAATGACACGTGGTCTGAAATGGGAAAACGTTACACCCAAAGTAAAAAAGCCCATAAAAGAAATAATACTCAAGGGAATGACACGTGGTCTGAAATGGGAAAAACATTACGCCCAAAGTAAAAGGGTCCATAAAAGAAATAATACTCAAGGGAATGACACGTGGTCTGAAATGGCCAAACGTTACGCCCAAAGAAAAAGGGCCYATAAAAGAAATAATACTCAAGGRAATGGCACGTGGTCTATTATGGAAAATACTGTGCATAAATTAAAAGAGTCATTAAAATGGAGGTTTGACGTAAAACAATTACTGCTACCGCACAATCCAATCGATTTGAATCTAAATATATTTATAACTATCAAGCTAACTTACGAATTGAAAATACTTGCTGAAACAATCAATTTTAGCTTATTACAAATATGGACAAACATTGTACTGGAATCAAGTTTGGATATTACAATAGCTAAAAGTTGTAAAGAATATTTTAGCTTGAAAGGTGTCATAAAAAGTTTCCAATTTAATCTATCTTTGTTCAATGTAACTTGTAAGAATGATACTTGAACGAGCTGAATTTTCGCTTCAAAATGATCCACTTCGACTGCCATCAAGTCCAGTGTGAAACGACRCACTAAAAACCATTAGCTCAAAGAAACATTGATATCTTATCCGACCATTCTTGGCTGTACTGTCTAATTCTATTGTGTATATAGTGCAGAACTGAGTCATTTACCGTAAAACGGCCGCAAACAGACTTTATACGATATTAAAACAATAGAATCGGTGTTCATCTCGTGAATTGCATTTAGCTGTACCACAAAGACCTCATTTGATAATTTTTCTAATATCGAGAAACGAAAAAACTAACTGGACTTGAAGAGACGGTGTACTTGATATCTTGACTTGAACGCGTGATTAAATCACAGACTAAAAAAAAATTTCTCAAAGGTGAAAAAATGACAATTGATTAAATTGAAAGAGCGAGAGATAAACGAAAAAAAGCCTTCATTTCTTGCAAAAGATATTTTTTGTTTGCATATCTAACTTAAATATTTAATGATTTCTAATTGATCGATAATTTTCGGCCGATATACTGATTGCAAATGTACAAATATGTGGCCGAGCGTACAATCGTTAATGGCTTCCCATTTCACCGATATTTACCCACCTGCAACCTCGTCCATCTATATGACTTTACATTTTACATGTTTGCCGACAATGACTTCTACGGACGCCACTTATGACGAAGATACAGCATTTCTTTCTCAATTAGAGTATTTAATTAAGCCATACACAGAATTACGACAACAACAACAACAAAAAAAAAAAGTTTTACGGATTCGAGTTCGTCCTTAAGAGATTCTATGAAAATATTTGAAACCGCATGCCTAGCTTGGCAAAGAGGTACACAACCAATTAACGTTTCCCGAGGTTGACTCACGGCTAGGCTTTGGCGGGATTATATGAGCGCATTAATCACTTTAGGCCTTGATGGATCTTTGTGAAATATTAGAGCTCTCTTAAGTCGCTTCTTCTTCGAATATATATTTWAAAAAAATTGCGCAACGCTCTGAAGTTTACAGAAAACACTAATTCTGCAGATATAATGTCATTTTCAGCTGCATGAGCCCCCTGTAGCTTTTGCCTGCGAATTTTTGAGATAACATTACTGTAATTGTTTTTAAAACAACGAGTCTAAATGCGATCGAAAGAAACAAGCTTCAAAGATTCGCCGTGGCAAGTGTCTACTAAAAGCTCTCCCTCCGAGGGAACATGAGATAATGATACCTCAGTAAACATGTTTCCGTTCACCGGAATGTCGGTACCCGCATCTGAATTCATTTTATGTTTTTGTCTTCTCAAACTATTAAACTTTTACCACTTTTAATGACAGAATAATTTTACAACATCCGTTGAATAAAAAAACATATTTAAATAGTGGAGTAGTTGGGATGAATAAGGGATAGAAGGATACGTGCTGAATAATGTGGTATCCTATATTCATTTTGATTCAATTGTATGATAGTCTTAATTTCATTCTAATTTTCTTTTCTTTCCCTCTTTAATCATATTTTTCGTCTCTAAATCTATCTCATTTATTTTTCAATTCTCTATTTTCCTTTTCCTTCACTTGTTCATAACTTTTCCTTTTCCTTTCCTTTTCAAGTCCTTTTATTTTTACTTCTTTATTCTTATTTTAATTTAATTCGTTTATTTTTTGCCCGTAATTTTCACTTCTTTTTGTTTCTTTTCTCAATTTCCTTTCGGCGTTTATTTAATTCTATTTTCTTCTCCCTTGATTCCCTATCATTTCCTTCCCATTTTGACTTATACTTTTACTCTATTTTCCTTGTCTTATTGTTTTCAACTACTAATTTCCCTTGTTTCCTGTTATTCTTTCTTATTTTCTCTACYGCTTTTCTTTCATTCCCAGCCAGTCACCTTTTTGCTTATCTCAATTATCCAGACAAAACACAAGTTTTATTTTCTCAGTTTTAGACTCAATATACCATAAATATTTCAGTACCAATATACCGATCCATTTGCCCTTAAAACCCACTCCTAACGAACAAATTTGCAATTACAATTAATCTACAAAACAAAATTAATTTCCAAATCCTTTTGCTATAAATAGACTCAATACCTAATTCTCTAGAATTACCCCGCAAACTACTTTGCTCTAGTTCTAATCCTCATGAATTATCATCCTATATATCTAGTGACGGATCTCACAAGACTATGTCGCAATTTTTACATTACCAAATCAATTTTCTAACTTTCTTTTTAATCCTAMATGTTAAGATGAAATTTGAAGAACCAGGTATTGAGAAATTTAACTTAAAATCATCAGAAAGAAAAACAGTTCAGAAATACAGGCAAATTGGTCTCGCTTTTTTCCGGACGGTTTTGGATGAAAAATACGCAAAAAAAAGAAAATTATTTAATAAAAAAGGTTTTTTGGGAAACACAAAATATAACTATTTTGGAATTTAAAATTGAATATTGCGCTTCACAAGTTATGATATCATGTATTTAATCAAATTTTCTTTGAAGAGTTTAAATATTTTGTTTGTCGTTCAACAGATTTTATAAATGTGAGTGTGAGTTGAGAAAAAAAATCTTTTTGTACCATAAACAAACATACCTTTTTCTGAGGTTAATGTTGGCCCCTTTTTTCGTAAAACGTTGTTCTAGTGAAGTCTTTTGAAGCAGTTGCTACATAAATAAATTAACATCCCAAAGTTGTGAAAATAACACAGCCAAGCGTGTGGAATGTCCTTCAGAAAATTAAGTCAGCTTTGAGTTTGTTCCGGTTCTTGTGAACGAGTCGAGAGTCCTATTACTGAAAAAGGCAAGGAATGTTTGAAGGAGTGAAAAGATAGAGACTTGAATGGATCGTACAGTGCTCAGTTCAGACGTTAGGCCTTAAATATCTAGCTCAATCCTCTGAATCACAAAATCAAATAAATATCTCCCTCGCTCTTTTCCAAGTGTTAATAAAACCTTTTTGTGATTGGCTGATTGCCTATCACACGTCATCGCTGACGAATACCAACCCGCTTTTCTCGTGAAAACTAAATGTAGAAAATCAAGTGTGTCAGACTAAAAGAATTAGGTAATTACTGCGAGGTACGATTATCACACTAAAAGCCTTCGCTATCTGTTGGTATAAGTTTGTAGATTACGTGTAGAAATGACAAATGTACACGTCCTGCGAATCACGTGATATATATATCAGGAATTTCCTTGTTTTTYCCCCATTGAGATATATCAATTAACTTTCCCTAATTCAACTAAAAAATACTTAAAGAAATCAATTTTAAAAATGGAGTTTCATACCTTAATGCCTTTAGGCATGACTTGCAAACGAGAACACGTCAACTGAAAACTGTTTTTAATACAATAAAAATAAATGAAAGTAACTCAGTCCTTCCTAAGAGGGTGTGACATGTCACTCACGCTTTTTGAGCGAGGTTTCTGGTTCTTTAGTTCGAAAGATTGTTAATTGAGTGAAAAAATTTAATAAAAACGTCGGTTCCTGCTGGAGAAAAACAGGTATACAAAGTTTGGCATGTGCTTTGAGGGATTAAGAAGGTTCTGGTATAAGGAAGAATTATTTCATCTTTGCTACAAAGTATTAAGGAAAACAATTTAGAACTTCCGAGATGGATTCATTATCCTAGATCATATTAATCTCAATTCAGATCTTAATGATCTCGCATCACAGACAATAGTTATCTGAAGAATACAGATCATACTAACTACTGATGTTATCATCACTGACAGACCATAATAATCTGAATAATACAGATCATACTAGCTACTGATGTTATCATCACTGACAGACCATAATAATCTGAATAATACAGATCATACTAGCTACTGATGTTATCATCACCGACAGACCATAATAATCTGAATAATACAGATCATAATAAAATGAACAATATAGACCTTAACGATCTCGTTAGTGATTTGAACAATACATAGGAGAATTAACTCATTATTGATCTCATTATCACAGACCAAAATGATCTCTTGATAATAGGGACTGATTGCAAATCGAGTCATCTTGGTAAAACTATAATGAGAGTCTTTTAGGAGGGTGTCAATGGGGGTGTACCCACTGATTGTCTGTTAACTTCTAATTTTTCGGCTGAAGATCAGTTAACTGTAATAATTTTAAGAGCGCTGGCCATAATATCCCAAATAATGAAATGTTATCTACTAATTTCAAGTTATTTGTCAATTAACTACTATTTTTTCTTTTATTTGTCAGTTAGCGACTAACCCCATTGGCACCCTTTTTTAGAAGCCAAAACCAAGCTAAACCAACATGTTTTGTCTTTTGTAGCAAATACATCTCTTTTTGTAGAAATACAGAATACTTTTCTTTCCTTTTGCCTCGACCTGGTAACGTGCTATTGACAGTATTCAGTACAGCAAATGACTTCCAAATAGATGTACGTTGGCAAATTAAAATGTCTCATTTCATTTCTAGTCAATCCTATCTTCTCTTTATCCCTCCACTAACCTTATATACATCCACAAGCTTGGCGAGTTATCCCAATAGAGCAACATACACCAACCTGTAGAAAAAATGAGTCCAAGTTCTTGTAAGTAATAACTCAGTACTTGTAACGTTGACATTACTTTTTGTATAGTCATATGTCAGTTATATGTCTCAAGTGTCGGTACTACAGATCCAATCAAATCCTTTACCAAGTCTTATTTTCCTGGATCATTCTACCAATATCTTTTGTGCACTTTGTGAAGTTTTTTAATTTCCTTGGCAATTACTTTCCGTCATTCTAATTATAGAATGTTCTAGAAGGTACAGACTAGTTATTTAGCGCCATTTGTCAAAGGCATTACATATTATTGCCAAGGGATTTCTTTAGCGTTTAAGACTTTAACAAACTTGAGCATGCGCGTCAGCTTCTTTCGCCTCAAGCAATATTAAGCATATAATTGCAATGTCATATCTGTTAAACAACATTGTTATTTTTTCATTACCGATATTTATTCTGTCAAAAGATTCATAAAAATGCTTCATAACACTTGCCATTTTTTATTGTATTAGAGATATATTTAATCCGACTAAGTTTTATTCACTAGGATACGAAATGGTAAAGCAAAAATTTTGTTGTCTGCGGCTCCGGCCCCGATCCCGTTATCTCGCAGATGACAGCGGTGCTTTTTAGTAGTCCGCCAATCCTTTCGTTTTCTTTCATTAGCACGCTATCTGGTTTTAATTAAAGCTGGACTGATAGAAGAGAAGTAACTTCATCCCCAGGCTATTCCTATTCTCTTCGCTGTTTGGCAAGACGTCACGCAAGTGTCTGTCATACGAGTACCCTGACCAAATCCTCGATTTCGGTGAATAGTGATGTATGGAAGTAAAWTGAGCGGCCTATGGTCAATACTTACTCTATTTTGAAAGCGTTAGTCTAACTCCGAGCGTTTTCTAAGGAGTACGTATGGTAGCTCTGAAGTCTCCGCCATTTTGGACCAATGGGAGAGCTGACAAGAAATAGCCTGGGTACGAGGATAGATGAGAAGGTAAATTTTAGTGTAATGTTATTGGATGATTTGACCCTTATTTGCTTAGCTGGCTATACTACCTACCTTTTAGAAGAAGACTTCGGGGGTAATCTAGGGCAACCCTTGAATCCTTTTCTTCTACAGGTGAACGTGCTGGAAGTTAACCAACTACTGAACCAGCAAACCAAAGTGTGTATAGACCAAATCGAAAAAATAACCCATTCTGGTCTATATATGTATAGAGGCTTTGCACAATCACGTGATGGCAGCCATGACAGGAGGAACAACCAGGGAAACTGAATTATTTCTTGAATGGCGGGCTATAAAAATGACGCACTATAATTCCCTTGACGAACGGTAATTGCCCTATTTCACTATGACGTCACTGCTTGTTTATGTGGGGGATAGAATCGCCAAATCCAATAGAAAATTCAACRAAATTTGCTCCTAGCGAAACAGTTTAATCTAAAATGGCCTGGTTTTCAGATATAATATGTGTTAATATGTACTAAAAAATATTCTGAGCGTTTGCTGGCTATTCTRCTTCTCTTCGTGGATTGATACAATTTTCGGTGAATTTGCGTTTACACAATAGATTGTTTTGTTGTGACGTCATAGTGAATAAGGGCAATTTAAATTTAAATGAATCTAATGCAAACCACACCGTTATAGCGCTCTTACCTCATTAGGCATTAAGTGGCTTTAGTATATAACAGCACGTAGTAATTCATCAAATGGATATCGTTTATCGGCCTGACGGTAATCATGGACTCATACCACTCAGTCTTTGATTTAAAACCGTTGCCGAAAACATGCAGCCTCCTGAGAGAATTAGTTTTAGAATTTTTACCTTTGGCGTTATGCTTTCTCATTTTAGGCCACGTATCATTCCCTTGAGTATTATTTCTTTGTTTAAGGGTTGCGCATGAGAAGACACATGAATATGGATATAACTCGAACAAAGAATCTTGTTCTCAAGACCACGTGTCATTCCCTTGAGTATCATTTCTTTGTTTAACGGTTGCACATGAGAAGACACATGAATATGGATACAACCACAAAGAATCTTATTCTCAAGGGAGTGATACGTGGCCTAAAATGGAAAAACATTACACTCAAAGTAAAGAGGTCTCTTATGACGCAGATTTTAACTTTCTGATTCCTGTTTGAGCATCCTGCTTGAGAATGATCATTCTTTGTCATAATTCATAGCACGTTTCGCGTAAAAATAGAAAAAAGCTAATTATAAGCTTCCTTGAACGTGCCAGATAAGTAAGTAGTACAGCTTCCCATGCTATTAATCCTATTATAAAAAAATATTTTATCTTAATTTTAAATGTCTTGATATTCAATTTATAACTGTTAGTTTTCATTGTATAGTTTAATATTGAGCATAATTGATGCACTTAGGATTGAAAAAAGTATAAATCGGCTGATGTGCTTTGAACATTTATTTCTGTAAGGCAATGACCGATGTATAACATCAATACAGATACTACATGTACCACATGAAGTGTGYGTAGTTTTAATTTCCTATACTATAAAAAAAATTGATACAGAAAAAACATTTTTACGTCAAGAAATACTAAGAGTTTCAGGTTTAAGTTCAAGAGAATGGACACTTTTGGCTTGGTCGTAATGTTTCCCATTTCAGACCACAAGTCATTCCCTTGAGTATTATATGTCATTCCATAAGAAATCCTAGAGAATTAGGCCCTTTGCAGCTCAGTAATCACGTACTGATTAATTTACTGAGAGCAAATGAATGATCATCTTGATTCCCATGGGTAAAATATACTGGTGAGCAAACGCAATTTCTACGCCCTGTTTCCAGAGATCGTAACAAAACTGTATTTCGTAACACACTGGTTACACATCGTTTCATTCGGTTCTTTACAAGTAGCTAAAAAGAATCACCAATTTAAAATAACAAAAAATTTACTCTCCAGTACAGACATGTRACCGTTAACTGCAAAGTGCCTATTTCTACCATATTAGTATTTAGTATTATTTGCAGTAATTATATTATAGCTCAAAACCAGGATATATCTTTATAACAATCTTCACCAGATGGATAGTCTTTAGTTCAACGATAATTTTAGATTATTTATTTTTATTCCAGTGCAAGTGCATAGTTAAATATACAAATAAGATTTCACTCTCTTTCAAAATCTCTCTTGGCCTTGAGCGTGGAAAACCCACGAGAACTAACGACGCTTATGATAGTGATAGCCATGAAGGGGCCATCTTAGCAATTCGATTGGATGGCAAGCAATCGTACCATGACCGTGCCTGTGCACTATGATTTTTCAAGTCAATTATTGCGCATGCGTTCTTCCGTATTATTGATATTCGACAGTTCTTTACAYTCTTGATACCAGTGTCTCCCGGCCAAGAAAGGATTCGTAAGATATGTTTTAAAATCGTGTTCTGCGCATGCGCTTTTAAACTTGCGGTGATTTAATCAATGAAGTAGAATAGAAAAAACGTACAAATTTGAATTTTCCGCTAACCATTTTTTGCTTAGCCATTTTGCTGAAGCAAAATATAAATAAAACTAGAAAATGCCCTGAAAATGGGCTTCAAAAAGCGATACCCATTAATTGCGATTAGCTTTGTAAACTTATAAACTTGTTTTAAATTTTTAAAATTTAGCTATTTTTAGTGAAGCTTTGCTTCAAGAAAATTTTCAATGCACAGGAGATTCCTGTACGGTCTTYAGACATTTAAATTTTATCGATACCCGAAACAACCTGTGTGGTTGGGATTTAACGTTTTAGGTTTTGCGGAGAGCGGAAATCCGGAGAACCCGGAGAAAAACCAACCCTCGAATGAAGAAAGAGACCTAAAGAAACTCTAGCCACGTGTAATACCGAGACTAAATTGAAGTGAGAGGCGACCGCGTGAGTCTACTATCGCTACGACACCCTAGGTTCAATTTACAAAGTGTGCAAAATAAAGGCTTCGTGCAAATCAGCTTCGATCCATTAAAATGAAAATGTTCTCATAGTTAATACTTCATGCATATATTCAGCTATTGATCAGCTATTCCGTCCAGGAAGATTGGTTATTTAGCATACGTCTCCAGAGGTCTCAGTTACGTTCACTTTTGCCAGCGAGACAGGCGTGGACTAATGCTTTAAATTAGTGAAKGAAGGTTATTGCGTCAATCGATCGAAGCTCTAAAATATTTGTAGATAAAGTCGTAAAAATGATCAATTCAAACGTGCAAAAAATTCAGTTTAAAAAGTCTTAAGCAGCTTCAGCTTCTGGGTTTCAATCCTTTAATAAAAGTCTTTCAATATCATTATCTGCTCTGAATGGTGTTCAAACACTGACCACCATGTGCTGTCAGCGAGAAAGATTCTATTGCAAACTTGTAATTCAGCTGATGAACACCAGTTACGCACGAGACAGGAAATGACGTCAGTGACTCCCAGCAGTTCATTTTTTATGAATTCCCAGGACGACTAGAGTCTGTGAGTTCCGAAGTCAATGATAAGACATTCCGAAACATTCACGAGTAAGGATCCTCATGATTGCACCCGAAAAGTATAAAATTTTATTAAAAAAGATGATAGGGTTGAATATGCACTTCATATACATGAAGATTCTGATGATATAGAAGAACTTGGCATCCATAGAAGGGGTACAGAGTTTACAGACGCGATTATACGTGAAATAGATATAAGGAAACATCCAGAAAACGATGTAGACCAACATGACTGTAAAGATGGAGCTGAAGGYATTAGCATCATCTTTGGTATGCTTTTCTTCCATTTGTTTCGCTTTGTAGCAAGTCTTAGCCATGACAGAAAAACATGTTACTAAGATAATGAGGCCTGAGGTACAGAGGAAGACGACGAGGAAGTAGAAGTAGTGAACGAATGTAAAATATTGAGGGAATAGATCCATTACGCAGACGACGTTTAACGCTGCTCCAAGGCCCGCGGCCACCCAGATCGAGAACACAATAAGAATCTGATGGCACAAGCTTGGAGGCATGTTTTGGGGCTGGGACAACACGACTTCATTAAAGCTTTGAACAGAAATTGCGGCAAGAGAAAATATGCTGAGAAAACCCGCAAATGAATCCATCCCTTCGTAAATAACGAACCCAAAACTCGGCCATTTTACCAAGTTGTAGAGAAAAGCTGGGATAGATACAAATCCTACTAGAAAGTCCGCCGTGGCCATGTTCCCGATCAAGTGCTTTTGGCGGTAGAGAAGAGCCTTGGTTGTAAACAAGGCACGGACAGTTAGATAGTTAGGGATTATTACTGCTAACCCAACAATACCGTAGAACGCTGCTACTGTCATCACTTCCCAGTGTTCCAACTGAGGGTCTTGGTTGAGGGGGTAGGCGCTGGTTACCATAGGAACAGGCAGGGTTTGGTTGGTAAGTGTAGAGTTATTCATCCTGTGAAAGATGAAAAAGTATTAACTTGATGAATGGATGAAAAGGGAAAAAGTGGGACACAGTAAAACGGGATGAGAATTGATATAAGAAAGAAAGTGGGGATGGGGGAGTGGGAGGGAGTGGGGGG